ACCACCTACCATCCACCAATAACAACCACTTACCACCCACCAATCATAACCACCTACCACCCACCAATCATAACCACTTACCACCCACCAATCTTAACCACCTACCACCCACCAATCATAACCACCTACCACCACCAATCATAACCACCTACCACCCACCAATCATAACCACCTACCATCCACCAATCATAACCACTTACCACCCCATCAATCCCAACCTATTACCACCAATCATAACCACCAATCATAACCACCTACCAATCATAACCACCTACCAATCATAACCACCTACCAATCATAACCACCTACCATCCACCAATCATGACCACCTACCACCCACCAATCATAACTACCTACCACCCACCTATCATAACCACCTACCACCCACCAATCATAATCACCAATCATAACCACCTACCACCACCAATCATAACCACCTACCACCACCAATCATAACCACCTACCACCCACCAATCATAACCACCTACCACCCACCAATCATAACCACCTACCACCAACCAATCATAACCACCTACCAATCATAACCACCTACCATAACCACCAACCACCCACCAATCATAACCACCTACCACCCACCAATCATAACTACCTACCACCCACCTATCATAACCACCTACCACCCACCAATCATAATCACCAATCATAACCACCTACCACCACCAATCATAACCACCTACCACCACCAATCATAACCACCTACCACCCACCAATCATAACCACCTACCACCCACCAATCATAACCACCTACCACCCACCAATCATAACCACCTACCACCAACCAATCATAACCACCTACCAATCATAACCACCTACCATAACCACCTACCACCCACCAATCATAACCACCTACCACCCACCAATCATAACCACCTACCACCCACCAATCATAACCACCTACCACCCACCAATCATAACCACCTACCACCAACCAATCATAACCACCTACCAATCATAACCACCTACCATAACCACTTACCACCCACCAATCACAACCACCTACCACCCACCAATCATAACCACCAATCATAACCACCTACCAATCATAACCACCCACCAATCATAACCACTACCACCCACCAATCATAATCACCTGCCACCCACCAATCATAACCAACTACCACCCACCAATCATAACCACTTACCACCCCACCAAACCCAACCAATTACCACCCACCAATCATAACCACCTACCACCTACCAACCATAAACACCTACCAATCATAACCACCTACCACCCACCAATCACATCTACCACCCACCAATCATAACCACCCACCACCCACCAATCATAACCACCCACCACCCACCAATCATAACCACCTACCACCCACCAATCATAACCACCTACCACCCACCAATCATAACCACCTACCACCCCACCAATCATAACCACCTACCACCCACCAATCATAACCACCTTTTACCCACCAGTCATAACCACCTACCACCCCACCAATCATAACCACCTACCAATCATAACCACCTACGAACCACCAATCACAACCACCTACCACCCACCATTCATAACCACCCACCAATCATAACCACCTACCACCCACCAGCCCCTTTGAGGTTCCTCTGGCGTAGACACGCAAGACAGTCTACAACATATGGCCCATTTACTAATTGCTGCTACATTGTTATGCTAGTCTGGGAAGAAGGGGGAGTAAAAACTTCACCAAATATTGTTTTAGTCTCTCAAGTATGACAACCCATTAATGCAGGGGTTCCCAACCTTTTTTTACTCTAGAGCACATTCTAAAATATCGGTAGGGAGGCGGGCACCACCTATTTTAAATTGACAAACTCCTTCCAGAGGCGTAGCGACCCTTCCCGGCGCCCGGGGACAAAACTTTCGATTCGCACCCCGCCCCTCAAACTTTCGATTTGCACCCCCCCTCAAACTTTCGATTTCCATCCCCCTTCAACCTTTCAATAATGTTTATGACAAAAAATCTGTCTCAGTCGAATAGTGAGAGGCGGGCACATACGAATCGTTCGGCGGGCGCCATGGCGCCCGCTGGAACAGGGCTGGGAACCATTACCGTCTAGCTAGATCAGTAGCGTAGCCAGGATCGTCTCATGGGGGGGGGGGGGGGGGGTGGGGTTCAAATTTTTACCCGGGGACAAACTTTCGATTTGCACCCACCCCCCCTCTCATACTTTATATATATACCGAGGGGTCTATGGGGTGGGGGTTATGATCCCCCCTAACCCCCCCCCCCCCTCCCCTGCCTACGCCACAGGTCTAGACACTACGAACAATTTATATTAGGGCCTACACCATTTTTTTTTGGCGATTCAATACCGCACGTAACTTTATGTATCATTCCCTTAGTTCACTCCTCATGTTATATAACATATTTAGAAACCTTCCTCCCACCTTCGTGTTATAGAATAAAAACATAATCCCCTGTATTACAATTATACAGTGATTAACATTTAAAGTACCGGCCCCTTACTTTTGTTAATCTATCACGTGGTTAAGCTGTACCACATGACTTGAACACAAATCAGAACCAACAAATTTGAAGCTTGGTAATGACCACGTTTTATTTCTGCACGCATTAGTGACACGAAGTGGAACAGCGGGGGGTTTCGAAGTGAGTACCGCATCAGCCCACCGTATAGGTTTGCGCGTGTGAGAGCGTGAGCTAATAACATTGTTTTAACATCTGCTGAACCCTCGCGCCACGTGTTCAGAGTTCGTCCTTCACCTTCACCTGACCCCCCTCCCCCCTGCCCTGTGCAGTACCCCAGTGCATTCAAGTTTCTTTTCCCTCTTGGGGGGGGGGGGGGTGGGGGTGGTAAGAGAGAGCATCAGACAGTTGAAACTATATGAATGACTTGCAAGCGGCCTAATTGTATTGTTTGTTTTGATATGCTGTTTTATATCGTAGCCTTGGGATTAAAAAGGCTTCTTTGTTGAACTCTAACGTAAAGAGTTTATAGTATACAGTAAATATTTAATACAAAAATTATCTAATAATTTTTTTTATATTTTAAATTTTAAATGAATCTTGCGATTTATTATATATATTTTTTTAAATAGGCCTATCATTGTGGTGTGTTTTGTGTGTTTGGGGGGGGAGTTATTTTTTTTTTTTACAAATTGACATAGTTTGCGTTAAGAAACCTCCGTATTTAAATAGACTAGGCCCTTTATAACGTGAAATCAGAACTATCGGACAGAGAAGTAAAACAAAACCACAGGGGCACTAAGCCCCGAACCTGAATAGTCTCTCAGAGACCCTCAGTGCAACATAACCTCTACTAGCAAGTTTATACATGCCCGCGTTAGAACTCAAAATGTTTGTGAAATGAGCTCGATAAAAATTTAAATGGGATTTCCAAAAAAAAAAAAAATGTAACCGGAAAGCAAGATAATGGATTAATGGTGGGTGGCGGTTCAAGCCATGTTGATTATACAGTGTTTGTAAAATTGGTTGTAAAAAGTTAGGTTTTGTTAGTAAGCAAATGTTGATGAAATTGGGAACAAATGTTGTTATCAGATTGATAAGAAAGTATTGAAAAGTTGTGACAGTAAAATGTACGGAAATTTAGTATGGGAGTTTAGGTAGGGCTGGGAATAAGATATTCGTAAGGTTTCTATGGCAACGGTCGAGGATGTTTGCTGACCAGGCGTTGATTCACAAATTTAACTTTTAAAAATAAAATTTTCGTGAATTTGACCCCCCCCCCCCCATTTTCAACAACATTCTGCCCTGTGCCTAATACTTGCATCTACTAACAGTGCCACAAAAACCCCACTACTTTACTGTTAAGTTGATAATCGCATGTTGATGAAGAGTCCATATGAAAGTATACACAGCTTGAAAGACACGTTTGGCAGGATTTGAAAAAAAAATGGATGCGGTCTGGAAAAGGGCGGATGGGAATGGTGGAGGAATAACTGTATAATTGGCACGGGCGTGATGTAGGCATGTTTCTGTAAGCAGAACGGTATCTTTGTTTATAGGCCAATGAAGCTCCTATTTCCGGTCTAAAAAAAAAAACAACCTTGCTATATTCTGCTCCTACCTGTATTTTTTATTGCATTGCTTATCTTCCACTGTAATATTTTTAAAACGAGCACATAATTTTAATTAAAATATTTTAGACTACTATACTATTGTAGCTTAAAAAAAAAAAAAAAACAAGCCAAAAACTAAGCATATATACAGAAAATGTGAAAGTATTATAACTCGCGTACCCTCACAAATAAACCATGTCAACTCACCCATGCCTAACCTTGAGCAATCGCTCTCACAGGCGAAACATAAAAGCCCACCCTATCTCTCCTCCCCCAGGTCACCACCCCCACCCCCCATTCACATAGCCCCCGTCCCTCCCCCCAGACACCCAAGTATTTTCCCCCACTCCCGACAAGCGCTCGTCTTTCAAAAGATCGTTGAAATTATTTTCACGAAGCGGGTGTAGCGAGCAGAGGAGGTAGAAGAAAAAAGAGAAAAAAACCGCAACCAGGATCTATGTAACGCTTAAACCATGTCCGCACGATGCTCGAAGTACACTCGCGATGGGTAGATATTTGGGAGGTGTAAAGGGTGGGGAAAGGGGTAGCCGGCGTGAAAATCCGCCAAATGAGAGAGAGAGAGAAAAAAAAACTACGTGAAATAAAAATAAAAACAGTCTCGTTTACAAAGAAATTAGGACATGACAATTTCGATTGGTGCCGGCTCCACGTGTTGAGTTTTCCGAGAGGTTCGCCTGCTCATTCGTAGTGGATTATTCCGTTGTGACAGCATTATTTTGTTTCATCGCTCTTGTTTGTGGTTTTAGTTTTAGGTGCCGGGAATAGATCGTTGTTTTACACAAGTGAATTACTCGCCCCACACTATGTGAGGACAGCAGACGAAATATATTTTATCAAGATTTCATTGGCGTTTTTTTTTTTAAATTATTAATTCATTTTATTTATAGATAACTATGAGTTAACTCACAAAAGTATTGCCTGTGATTTTTTTAAAAGTTCCATCTGTGGGAAAATTAAAAAAAAAACTGGTTGTGATTCTACATGAACGGATTTATTTTTCTTGAGAGTCAGAATGCCCGTTGGCGGTAGTTAGCTCTCCTGTTCGTAAAGAGCATGAATGGTGTTGCTGTAACCATAACAAATTTACCGAAAGCTTTCATCTTTTTGTGTGTGTGCGCGTGTGTGTTGGTGCATCCGGCAACATGTCAAATCCGATATGTCTATTATCAGGGCCATCCTGGAAGTAGAGGACCGGAAGGTCCGAGGGGACCCCCAGGGGCAGACGGCAGACCGGTAAGTAGATGTTTCATTTTTACTTTTGTGCTGTACTAGATCTATAATTCTAAATTCCACTAGATCAGTGGCGTAGCGAGGTCGGGTGTCATCCGGTGCGGCACTTAATGGTGTCACCCCCCCCCCCCCCAGAGGCAAAGATACCCTTCCCAGGGACAAACTTTCAAATTTTCGATTTGCACCCCCCCACCCCCCCCCCCCCCCCCCTCAAACTTTCGATTTGCACCCCCCTCGAGTTTTTCTCTATATATTTTGCTATTTTTTGCCTTGGTGTCACCCCCCTAAATGGTGTCACCCGGTGCGGTCCGCACCCTCCGCCCCCCCCCCCCCTCGCTACGCCCCTGCACTAGATCTATATGGAAACTGCAAATAGACTGCACCGTTGTTGTTTTTTTTTTTTTTTACATGTGTTGCTTACCATATATCACAGAAAAATACCCCACATTAGTTCATGACATAAAACAAAGTGAAAAAAAAATAGCGTAACAGCGTTTTATTTTTAAAAATAAAAATAACAGGTTCTTTTTATATTCTTTTATTTTTTATTTTACTGTACTCTATGAAAACTTGGACGCAGCAAAACTGCACTGTTTCTTGCATGTGTTGCTTAAACAAACAAAAAATAAAAATAAACATTACGTGACAACGTGACACGAACCAATATGCTAAAAATAATGTAACAGCACTGTATTTAAATAATGTGTTGTAAGCACATTTCTTGATTCTCTACACTATCCTTTTAGTATTTGTTTAGAAATTGCCAATGAAATGCAGTATAGGTCGACAAGATCTGAGCTACTATCACAATGTAGGCCTACAGTTGTGCATATCTTATGCTCTAATATTTGTTTACTTTGCAATAATTTAATTGTATTTAAACCAGAGGCGTAGCGACCCTTCCCGGCGCCCGGGGACAAGCTTTCAATTTGGCGCCCTCCTCGGGAGCAAATTTTGGATTTGCACCCCCCCTCAACTTTTCGATTTGCACCCTCCCCCCCCCCCCCTCAAACTGCAAAAATGCAGCTACATTGACATTTTAATTTGTTTTTACAACCCATTTTAGCGCCCCCTAAGGTCGGCGCCCGGGGACATATGTCCCCCCCTGCCCCCCATCGCCACGCCTCTGATTTAAACTGTACCCTGATACGATATTTTATTTTTTGTGTGTGACTCCATGATTTTATTGATGATTTTCTATGATAATTAGACATAAATACCATATTTTTTTTTAAATCCCAATTAGTGTTGGAAGTCTTACAAGAAAAACAACGTTAATAATGTACATAAACACCCTGTATTTCGCTTATTAATGTATATAGGAAGCTGCTGTTTTTTCCCTGTCTTTACCGTTTATATTTATAGAGAGAGATTTTTTTACAAGGGAAATAAAAATGGTGATTATCCCCGATTTAAAAAAAAAGAAAAGAATTGAGAAGTAGACTGCCAAATATTTTTTTTCAAGATCTCATCTTTTTATTAATTCATAGCTTTTGATGTAGATTTTTCCTTGTGCCTTGTTGCAAAATACAATCACGTGGCAATGTTTAGCATTTTTACATAAAGATATTTATTAAGTCCTGCTGTATAATCTATTGGATGTACTTTGTATTTCTATGATGTTTGTTAACAATATGGTCGGTGTGGTCACTCCATGGTGCATGCTAGAGCTAGTGCATGCTAGCAGGTAGCCAGAGCTAGAGCTAGTGCATGCTAGCAAGTAGCCAGAGCTAGTACATGGTACCAGGTAGCCAGAGCTAGTACAATCAGTACATGCTAGCAGGTAGCCAGAGCTAGTACATGCTAGCAGGTAGCCAGAGCTAGTGCATGCTAGCAGGTAGCCAGAGCTAGAGCTAGTGCATGCTAGCAAGTAGCCAGAGCTAGTACAATCAGTACATGCTAGCAGGTAGCCAGAGCTAGTACAATCAGTACATGCTAGCAGGTAGCCAGAGCTAGTACATGCTAGCAGGTAGCCAGAGCTAGTACATGCTAGCAGGTAGCCAGAGCTAGTACATGCTAGCAGGTAGCCAGAGCTAGTGCATGCTAGCAGGTAGCCAGAGCTAGTACATGCTAGCAGGTAGCCAGAGCTAGTGCATGCTAGCAGGTAGCCAGAGCTAGTACACGCTAGCAGGTAGCCAGAGCTAGTGCATGCTAGCAGGTAGCCAGAGCTAGTGCATGCTAGCAGGTAGCCAGAGCTAGTACATGCTAGCAGGTAGCCAGAGCTAGTACATGCTAGCAGGTAGCCAGAGCTAGTACAATCAGTACATGCTAGCAAGTAGCCAGAGCTAGTACTTGCTAGCAGGTAGCCAGAGCTAGTACAATCAGTACACGCTAGCAGGTAGCCAGAGCTAGTGCATGCTAGCAGGTAGCCAGAGCTAGTACATGCTAGCAGGTAGCCAGAGCTAGTATATGTTAGTAGGTAGCCAGAGCTAGTGCATGCTAGCAGGTAGCCAGAGCTAGTACAATCAGTACATGCTAGCAGGTAGCCAGAGCTAGTACATGCTAGCATGTAGCCAGAGCTAGTACATGCTAGCAGGTAGCCAGAGCTACTACAATCAGTACATTCTAGCAGGTAGCCAGATCTAGTACATGTTAGCAGGTAGCCAGAGCTACTACAATCAGTACATGCTAGCAGGTAACCAGAGCTAGTCTATACTAGCAGGTAGCCAGAGCTAGTACATGCTAGCATGTAGCCAGAGCTAGTACATGCTAGCAGGTAGCCAGAGCTAGTACAATCAGTACATGCTAGCAGGTAGCCAGAGCTAGTACAATCAGTACATGCTAGCAAGTAGCCAGAGCTAGTACAACCAGTGCATGCTAGCAGGTAGCCAGAGCTAGTACAATCAGTACATGCTAGCAGGTAGCCAGAGCTAGTACATGCTAGCAAGTAGCCAGAGCTAGTACATGCTAACATGTAGCCAGAGCTAGTACATGCTAGCAGGTAGCCAGAGCTAGTACAATCAGTACATGCTAGCAGGTTTCCAGAGCTAGTCCATACTAGCAGGTAGCCAGAGCTAGTACAACCAGTGCATGCTAGCAGGTAGCCAGAGCTAGTACAACCAGTGCATGCTAGCAGGTAGCCAGAGCTAGTACAATCAGTACATGCTAGCAGGTAGCCAGAGCTAGTACAATCAGTACATGCTAGCAGGTAGCCAGAGCTAGTACAATCAGTACATGCTAGCAGGTAGCCAGAGCTAGTACATGCTAGCATGTAGCCAGAGCTAGTACATGCTAGCAGGTAGCCAGAGCTAGTACAATCAGTACATGCTAGCAGGTAGCCAGAGCTAGTACAATCAGTACATGCTAGCAGGTAGCCAGAGCTAGTACAATCAGTACATGCTAGCAGGTAGCCAGAGCTAGTACAATCAGTACATGCTAGCAGGTAGCCAGAGCTAGTGCATGCTAGCAGGTAGCCGAGGTAGACTAGCCAACTATGTTGTAAATGTGGTCATTCCATAGTCTACACCTATGCAAGGGACCAAAAAGGTAGCCAGAGCTAGTGCAATCAGTACATGCTAGCAGGTAGCCAGAGCTAGTGCATGCTAGCATGTAGCCGAGGTAGACTAGCCAACTATGTTGTAAATGTGGTCATTCCATGCTACATGCTAGCATGTAGCCTACACCTATGCAAGGGACCAAAAAGGTAGCCAGAGCTAGTGCAATCAGTACATGCTAGCAGGTAGCCGAAGTAGACTAGCCAACTATGTTGTAAATGTGGTCATTACATGCTAGCATGTAGCCAACACCTATGCAAGGAACCAAAAAAAGGATTTCTTAAGATAGTTGAAACCGGTTTGATAGAAAACAAGTATGACATAAATGTACACAGGGAGTGTGGTTAGGATGAAATCGGTAGCACTCACTAGATGCCAATTTTTTTTGTGAGATCCAAGCTTGGAGATGCTTTGCCTCATAACTGCTTAATTGTTCACATAGATAGTGGCGTTTTTTTTCCGCTGTCAATTAGCTTATAGTTGGCTACTCGCCACAGCATCTTATTTAAAATAAAAACGCATCCTTAGCGTTAATGGGTTAAGATGCAAACAATTTTTTTTTCTATTTTACAGTTAATGAACCCTGTAATTTTCTGTTTTACAGTTAATGAACCCTGTAATTTTCTGTTTGAATAGGGCTGAACGAGAGTGGAAATAAGCATTTAATAATTGTATTATTTGCTGTTTTTAACAGATATTTCTCTGATGTGATTGACTATTTTAACTCTAAAATGTATGCAGTAAAACTATAAACTTTGCGTTTGAAGAAATTATTCTCGTCAAGCATGGTCTCTGATTAAATCACAACCTGTTTGTGTCAAATTATTCTCAAGTCAACCATGGTCACTGATTAAATCACAACCTGTTTGTGTCAAATTATTCTCATCAAACATGGTCTCTGATTAAATCACAACCTGTTTGTGTCAAATTATTCTCAAGTCAAGCATGGTCACTGATTAAATCACAACCTGTTTGTGTCAAGTTATTCTCGTCAGACATGGTCTCTGATTAAATCACAACCTGTTTGTGTCAAATTATTCTCAAGTCAAGCGTGGTCTCTGATTAAATCACAACCTGTTTGTGTCAAGTTATTCTCGTCAGACATGGTCTCTGATTAAATCACAACCTGTTTGTGTCAAATTATTCTCAAGTCAAGCGTGGTCTCTGATTAAATCACAACCTGTTTGTGTCAAATTATTCTCAATTCAAACATGGTCACTGATTAAATCACAACCTGTTTGTGTCAAATTATTCTCAATTCAAACATGGTCTCTGATTAAATCACAGCCTGTGTCAAGGTGTTGTGCTGTGTGGATAGATTAAACGCGATAGAATGTACGAATGTACGGCGATAAAATCGTGAGACGGAAACACTGACGTGTCAGGTTATATTTCTGCAACTGGCACCCCAAGCCTGATAATTATTGCACCTCTAGGGCAGAAAAATGTTAGCGCTATGTTAAATCATCGTGTTATATTCGTGTCTGCATCTACCCAGTGTTTAATTTG